TAATATTTTGTTGAAATAACTCCTTTGTAATCTTAAACGTAATTTTTAATAGTGGTAGTTGTAGTGAAAAACTATCCTTTCATTTTATTGGCATATGTAGATGTTATTGTCGTCTCTCAAGATGGACCAGCATGTGTACTTGAATGTGTGTTACAAACATGTTTTCCTGTCTTAATTATTCAGCTATACGAAACACCATAAAGTAATAGTAGCTATATACAATAGGTATGTCCAAAAATACAGTAATCCGCACCTAATTTCGTATTGCTCATTTTAGAACTACGTAGGCTGTACACGTTGTGCTAACAATATATAAATAAAATTCACGTCTTTGAAGGTTTTTATTTTATCTGTAGTATCACAGGTGGGTATCGAGGGAAACAAATATATTGATGATGCCGCCAGATCAATATAACTTACTTTTTCATACCAACCGGGAGCTGAGACCCCTTTTGGAATATTCTGACTGTAAAAGGAAATTCAGTCAACTGTTTCTCTATGAATGATTTCTTAAATTCAGTTAGGAGAAGAGATTCAATATATTCTTGTTTAGAACTCATCATATTTATATGGGAAAAATACGATCGCCTTCTTCATTTACTAACTATGCAGATAGTAGAAACTGTTCTCAGTATTAACAGAAGATTACAGCAATGCAGAATAGAATTGATAGAAATGACACAAATTGAAAGTACTTTGTCTTACTTTTCGAACGTAAGCTATGGAATTATTGTAATAGGGTCCATCCAATGATTGGCTACTTTCAAGTTTAGGTCTGCGTTTCCGTCTGAGTGTCTGCCTGTCTGTTTGTCTGTTGTCTTTGTCGACTTTTATTAGACAGATAACTCCGAAATTACGGGACCTATTGCTGTCAAATTTTACATGCACTTTATTGTATGTTGTTTATTATCTATCTCTTTTATAAGGGTTATCAAAAAAAAATTGTATCATTTTTGAAGAAGCGGAATTTGTTGGACTGTACTTCACGGGCGAGGGAGGTTAGACAGAACTTATAACCTTGGACTTATTTTATTTATTTTACGCGCAATGGTTTGAATTATATCAAGATTAGTTTAAAGTTTATGAAATTTTAAAATACATTTTGATAGAATCTGATGCAAATTCGGTTTTGACAAAATGTCCGTTAGATATTGTTAATGAATTTCTAACTCAAAAGGCTTGGCAGTGCAAAGTTGTAAACTGCAGTTTCTTTCTTCTTTAGTCTGATTAGTAAAGCACATTTCATTGCTTGTCTAGTATTCGAGAGTATTTATTTTATGTGTTTAAACAAAGCAGACAGTATGAGATATAAGATATAATTTTTTCAGGTTGTCAATATATTTCAAATTTTATGTTGGCATACCTGATGTCAAACTCAAATTCTAGACACCAGTTCAGTAGCTGCCATCTTCTCATTGGTTTTTAAGCGCACTCATGTCAAAATTGACTGACATGCTAACATTGCTGCCGATAACTCAGAATTGCCAACCCAAAAATTCGCTTCAGTCACTGATAATCACCCGGTATTTAAAAAATAACATTTTGATTCTTATCCTGCCCTAGCTGGTATTTGGTATTTTTTTTTCTAAATCTAGATCTTCAACTACGTCTTTTCGAAAGTTCGTTGTAGTCGAGATATAGTTAGCTTTGGTTTGATTTAAGTGATCAATGTGGTTTAGCTACAAAAAGTATACAAAGTGTCTATAAATGATTCACTAGTTCGAAAATTTGAATTTTTATAAATGAAAGAATTTTGTCACTTGTATGAAAAGATGTTCTTACATAGAGTTCTATTTTTAGAACAGTAACAAAAAATGTTGACAGTGGCCTCCATCTTGCTATAAATGCAATCTAATACTTTTTAAAGTGTTGTGATTTATTTTTATTTATAGACACTTAGAGAACTTAACTCGTCGATTAAACAAAGTATTCTCATCAATAAACAGTCATTTCTCTTTTAAACAATGTAACCTTTCTGTCTCTTGATAAAATTTCGTAATAACCTACAATTCTTTGACGACGGGTACCCAATAAAATAATATCATATCTTAGAAAAAAAATTTACTAATGGGTCATCAAATTACTTTTAAATAAATTTCATAGTCTGCTGGAAAACATTTTTTTCCAATTATATACTGGTATGAAATTAGAGCAAAATGCGCTTACGATCGGGAAGTAAAGTTATAGGGCCTATCGGAGAACGGACTATTTTCATGTTTTCTCAACGTTTCATGATTTCTAGAGTACGAAAAAGCAGCCCTCCCGTTTCGATTTGTTTGTCGTCTGTGGTCTGTCTGTCTGACTAGCGTGTGTGTCGATTTTTATTACACAGATAGTTTCCGAAACTACCAGGCTGATTGTCGATTTAATATGTATCGTAATATGTAGTAAAACGTAAACCAAGATTTGTCTCATCAGCCATAATAATAATCATCTCAACATTTTGCTTAGTACATGCCGTATAAATTTTATAAAATGACAAACCCCTGTATTTGTGGTTTATGAATTTGTCTTAATATTGTTAGTTATTCTTATAATTTTTATTATTCAGTGTTTTTCACAGTAAATGTGTTCTTTAAGCACTTAATACCATTCGAAATATGGAGTAGCTTTGCATCGAAGGGGTCGGGGTTCGAGCGATCTCTGATATATCTCTGATTTTTTCTTACACTGTGACTGGTTTACCACAATAGGAATTTATGCATAACGCTGCTTTAAATATAAGGGTTATTTTAATTTTATAATTTTTCGTTGGACTGTACTTCAAAAGATACAAGAATGTGTAAATGTAAACGTACCTATATGCAAAATTTTAGTACTTTTTTTACATTTTTTAATAGGACTGATGTCGACAATCTATACAACACTCGGTTTTTTAATGTTATCCATTCGTTGTTAACAAACATTTTTAGTAATTGTAAAGTAGATTAATCAATTTTATCTAACATATACATACTTAATAAAGTGGTTCCTAAGTCACTAATCGATTGTAATCCTAACTCACTGGTACCATACAGTCGCCTTGTTTATAAATCCAGATTATAGTATTTTTCGAATGGAAATGTACCGCAATTTGGTCAACTGTATCTGACTATCTGATACTTGAGCAAAATTTTTATCGCAATTCGGTCAAAATTATCCATATACCTGAGTACCTGATATTTGAGCAAAATTTGCACCGAAATTCGTATACGACCGTATTTCTTCAGTTGTGGATTCAAGTGAAATCAACAAGTGGTGTTTTTTTTAATTTTGGCAAAAACTACAGGGTTTCTATAAATGATTATAGGGTCACAGTAGGTCATGCAAACGTGCCGCCTCTCAGATTTAACTGTACGGAGATCCGTTCTAAGTACCCAAGGACGCAAATTTATTGCGGTTAAACATCACCGTAAATGATGAAAATGTTCATCATTCTGTTCAAGGCACATGTTCACTCTCTTTTTAATTTCAAAAATGTTCTGTAACATCCTTTCGTCAATACTTTGGATCTGTTGTTCAATTGTTCAAGTCTGATCAAATCGTCTCACATCATCAATAATTTCCTCAGATGAAGTCTTCCACGAGATTTCTCTTTATTGATACTGCCAGTTCGAACAAATTTATTGATTACAATTCTAATATAGCGATGTTTCTGGAATTATTAAATCACGGTATTTGGCCAGATATTCTTGCTTACAAGCGGTCACAGAATACAACCACTCTTCGTTTACGAAGTCCCATTGGGATAACAAGAATGAAAGTATTTTGTGCAACAGAATAAACCATTTTCACAGTCTTCGTTTCCTTGCACAAAAACAAAATTTTCGTACTCAACCACCAAGAGTTCTGAAAATGACTTTAAATGACAGGTTACAAATGACATTAGACATTAATGTGACAAGTAAGAACTGTCATAATGATGCATAATCACGGTCATAATTTCAACGAAGCGGGATTTTGAAATCCGTGGCCAATTGCGCTCTTAGAATCATTTATAAAAGCCCTGTATAATAATTACTATAACCCAGTTTCTAATTTTGGCAATATTTGTCAAAACAGTTTACTTTTAACGAAAGTTGTCAAAATTAATAAAAAAAAAACAATATTTACTCAATATTATTCATGTATTGGATAAATTTTGTTGTGTCTTTAAAACCCTTGAAAAAATTAGTCACTCTTTCCTTTGGGATGAAACAGTAGTGCAATAATAATAAATGACCATAATATAATCACTGTCTCGGAATTGTTGAGTCACTGTTCTATTCAGTGACTTTACTTAGCATGGGTCGTTTGAATTTATTTTTGATATTTCAATCTTAGTTTTGAGATTTTTTTTCAGATATCCAAGAGAGCTGTATTAAAAACTGTTTTGATGTCATAAGTCTACGTTAATACATGTAATTTTACAATGCATAATGTGACCCAGAAACTTTATTAATTACACCTTATGTTCTTTTTATTTAAAACATGAGAAATGAAAATATTGTTAAATTTATAATGCTACTAGCTGACCCGGCCACGCGTTGCTGTGGCTAAAGTTTTTGTTATATTACATTATAGTAAACAATCTAAGAGGAACAATAAGAGAACATCAGTCACGGAGTCCACTATGCTTTTTCACACAGATGGTATTTGTAAAAAAATATGGTGATCTCCTTATTTGACTTTCTACTACTATAACCCTTTAGTACAATGAAATTATTTACGAACAAAGACGAAAATGTTGATGTTGGTATACAAATTCACTGGATTGAGATTTGAAGGGGAAGTACGTTGAACACAAGTAATTAAAATGCTCTTACACTTGATATTAAGCAGAAATCAATAGGTACAAAATAAAAATTTATCAGATTTATTATTTCCATTTTATTTTATAACAAATATAAGTATATTACAGTATAATACAGTAAATAACATGTGACGCTTAAACTCATGAATGAGGTAGGCAAGGCAGACAGTCTTAAAGTTTTAAACATTAATATCTATTTTTTTGAATTATAAATACTTTCAATTTCAATTTAATTTAACACCAGTCGGTGCACAATGTTTTTGGTTAACCTGTCTTTAGCTAACACAAATAGATTCGACGGTTTCCCAACACGTGAACACGCAACATATAGTTGCCCATGAGAAAAACATGGATTTTCCAAATCTAAACCACAAATGGACATTGTTTGACCTTGAGATTTATTTATAGACATGGCGAAAGCTAAACGAATTGGAAACTGTAGCCTTTTGAAGGGTATGGTAGAATCTGATGGTATCATCGGAATACGTGGTAGCAGGACCACTTTTCCTTTAAACTTCCCAGCCAAAATGGTTGCTTCAAGAATTTTTCCGGTGATCTTTTTGATGACCAAACGCGTACCGTTACATAATTGAGGTGGATTCAAATTACGGAGGAGAATAATAGGGGAACCAATCTTTAATCGAAGATTATGTGGTGGCATTCCAGGGATATCTAATGAATTTAAAAATTCAATCGGAAAATTTACACTTTCATTTTCATCAACAACAGTATCGATTGATTTAAAAGACATCAGATCACCTGGTAACATCTGTTGTATCTGGAAGTTAATTTCGTCAACATCAACGTTTTTGGCTGCCAAAATCGCCCGTTGACTAAGCCATTCATGATTCAAATAATTATTCTGTATATCCGGGAAAATACTCTGAATCAATTCATTTTTATCCTGAACAACAGTGCAAAAATTGTCTGGTAGTTTAATGCATTGCGTATTTGGTTGCAGTTCTATTTTACCGTTCCTAATATCTAGTAGTTGTTCGGAAAATATTTGTGCTGATGGATCATTTTGCAATTGTACTCGCATATTTATGGTCAATCGAAGTGTTTCAACACTTCGCCATAAGAACGATTGTTTCAAACATGCATTAATCTCATCCGCGAAAGTAGAGCGAGGTATAACCGGTAAGGTCTGCCGGAAGTCACCAGACAAAAGTAAGATAGCACCACCGAAAAGTTTATTATTGCTGTTTAAATCTTGCATAGTTCTGTTTAGTGCTTCAAGTGAATATTTGTGTGCCATTGTGCACTCATCCCAAATTCTTATAGAACTCTTCCGCAACACTGCAGCTATTCCACTATTCTTTTTGATGGAATCATCTGAATTGCCAGTAAGAAGGGATAATAAAGGCTCCGGCGGAGCGGGTAGAGGTGACAGCACAACTTTTCCTGATGCGCAGCACATGCCGGCTGCTTCATTCCGAAATTTCAATGCCTGACAATATTGACATACTTTATCCATTCCACCGATAGCAATTTTTGAATGCGCTGAGTAGTTAATATCTGGTGCATATTCAAAGTGTTAATGAGCGGCTGATCCGTTGCCTTTGTCGATCTAGTACTCGTACTGTAGCTATTATGTTTCGTTCTCGTGCCGCTCTTGTTCTCGTAATATTCTGTTGCCGACGTTCGTCACGCTGTTCTTAAGATTCTTGTGCACGACTTTCTGCAGTCCTGATTCTTTCAGCTGCATTTCTTGTTTCGATTTTTTCTGGTAATTGCTGAGCTCTTTCAACACGTTTGCGTCGTGACCCTTTGCTGCTCGCGTTGTTGAGGTTAGATTTTTTCGGTGGCATTTGACTGACAATAATAATTTAATCGTTTAAATATTAGAAACCCAGTCGAAAGGTATCGACATCTGTTAGAATCATTTGGAGTTAACAGATAATTGTGACTGTCAAATAATAGCAGACAAATAATTAGCAATAAATTAAAATTGCGACTATAATTTGAGATTTAAACTATCCTATCTCTCAAGTTGGATCGAACTGCACATGGTGTGCGAATTTTATTATAATCGGTTAAGTGGTTTAGGAGTCCATTGAGGACCAACATTGTGACACGAGATTTATATATATTAAGATTGCCATTTGCTTTAATGATTTGGCAAGATTTTATTTTTAGAAGGCCTGTACCAAAAAATTATTATTTTCAAGTTCAGAATGAAAATACTACACTAATTTTGACCACACCTAATTCTTCAAAAGAGATCATCATTTCAAATATGGTTCAGTTATTAGTTCATACGGAAAGTAAATCCTTACTTTTAGATTATTAATGAAATAAATAATATCTTGGTCGCTATTAAGCACCTTTCCTAAAACATTTACATCGATTTTAAAGAATATTTACTGTAATATTAGGCAGTACATTACTCTACGTCAGCCAATTTGGCATATTTTACAAAATACATCTCTGAAGTCGATCTAAAACAAGTTGATGCTCTTATTCAAAATTATGGATTTTCTAATTCCTTACTCGACTTCTTTAAATCGTATCTGTTTAATCGAGAACAATATGTTGAATATCACAGTACCACAAGGATCCAATTTGGGCCCACTTCTATTTCTTAAATGATTTTCACGATTTCTTCAGACAAACTGTTATTTTCCGATCAGTGAAAACCAGTCTGATTACTGTTCCAAATTCTTCAACATTTTTCAAATGCTGTATCGTCACGTACACTGGGAAGGTCCTGAGATTGTTTTTCATCCTGTTAATGTAAAATTAATTAAAAGTAGCGATTCATTCAAAGACTGGGGTTTTTATTCCATGCAAAATGTACTTTCGTACTTTATATTAAACAATAATTGTAGACAAGCTTCCGAAACTGGAACTGTACGTATCCTTTTTTTTTTCATTAGTCAGTATAAATGCTTTTCATCAAATTTCTCTCATATTGTCTTTCCTGTTCGAAGTTTCAATCATTCCTTATTACTGACTTCTTGTCTCTTAAATCACGTAGAATTGTTATTGCATTTCTGTTTAACTTGGTTAATAACCACATTGATTGAAACTACACTTACTTAGGAAATTGAACTTCCTTGTACCAAGAAGTAACTCAAAGCAGTCTCACATGTTCTATTGTCAAACAAACGGAACAAATGTATTAGTTAACTCGCCAATCAATTTCATCGGGGAATTATATAACAAAATTTCTATTCTCCTACATTGGATACTAAAATATTTAGGTTAACTATCTTAGTTTGTTGTTTTATGTATATAAGAAGAGTTTCGTTTTTATAGGTCTACCAAAGAGCACTTATGGTTTTAATAGTACTTGGCGCTTCTTGAAAGTTTAACCCACAAAGATATATTCAAACCCAAAAATACTATGACACACACAAGTTTGCTTAAGAAATCTATTCTGTTATTTCGTCAGTCCTACGAACATTAAATAAACACAATGCAATTATTTTAGACAACTGGGGATGGTTGAATGATCACGCGATATATATTTACGTAGACACATTTGATGTAACAAAGCCCAAAGCAACTGAACAAGTTTGAAATTGCATCAAGTAATGCATTCCCCTAGGAATAAGAGAGCTTGAGTTGGAAATATCTGCGGATTCGGGTGGGCACGAAATAACGTGGTGAACCACAATTATTTACTTTCGTGTTTTGGAATGTTTACGCATTGCTATCATCGTGATCAAAGCGAAGCTGATTTTGTCTGTTTTACGTTGTATGAATTATTGAAAACGTTACTGGATTTTACGTATCTCTGCGTACCATTCTACATTATAACTGATTCCTCAATATAAAAGCGATTTAATTAGTTTTATACTGTTTGTTTTTATTTAGTATTGATTCGATCTATTAACTGCACCCGCTCATTGTTTTCACTATGAAAACCAATCGGTCTGGACAGCGTTCGGGCACACAGATGTAACAAAAGCGGAAGTACACACCTGAAAGTCGTTTAAATTAACTTGCGCAGACGGATTTTATGCAACTTGTTGTAATTGAATAATTTAAGTGATATGAATTTTCATTAGGTCTTGTCTTTACTGAAGTTTCGGGAATTATATTATTCCATAATCGAAACGACAGTAATCTCTTCCATTTCGCAGATTTAAACGGACGTCCTATCACGGAATAATTTTTATGCAAAGTGCGACGAAAATTAAATGATTAGGATTACGTTGTCCTTCCCATTTGCATTTTAAATTTGTGTAATTCTGGTTTTTAAACACGTTTTTTTTAAATCTGTTTATTTGAATTAAAAATCCCAATTATTAAGCCCCGAAAAATTAAAACAGGAAATTGGAGGAGTAAATGCCGTTTGTGTTAATTTAAGCAAACTTGCCTTTTAAATATAAGAAATTTCTGTTGAACAGATTGAATTTGCGATCAAAATATTCTTTAAGGTAAATTTTGAATATTTCTTTGCTAATCCTGGAGCTAGAGATAAGCAGAGGGCTATTAATCTTAACTTGGGCATTACTTACTTTATCTGGGACGCCAGATCAGCAATTAAATTAACTTCAGCCGAAACAAAACTCTTTTGAAATTAATTTTTTGCGTTAATCTAATTTTTACATTTTTAAAAAATTAATTCTAAACTTGGAAAATACGAAAGTTGGTAAAGCGTTCACCTCTGTCAGTAAAGGTCTTGTTTAATGATACGCTAAAAATTAAAACTGCTGAAGTTGAGGGAAGTTTCATAAGTTTGAAATTTTAATCTTCAAGTCGTGGAATGCAGTTTCATGGAAGTCGACAGCCTAACATGCACATTATAATCAACCTTAATGTTTCTGAAGTATTTTTAGTAAAGTTATTATTTTCAGAGATGAGTTTGTTTTAAAAACTTTTAATACAAAACTGTGTAGTTGCTGGTGAAAACGTAAAGTGACAATAACATTCTATACTTTGATACTTCAGCTTCAAACGGTGAGAGAAATATTTAGTAAAATGGAATAGGTTTTATCAGTGTAATTTACTGCAAGTCATGCTTGGTGCGCTGTAAAGCCTAGTTGTTTTAACAGGGTGTTAATGAAGGTTTACCACAATATATTAGCTTAACCCTTGTCTATTTTTTGTTCTTGCGCTCTAATTAATCTCAAGTTACGGTTAATCTATAGCGCTATAACAGTAGTTTTAGACAGTAATATCAGCTTCCTTTATTTTAAAAACTAATAAAAACGTCCATGCAGTCTTTTCCACATGATCGGGCTTTTAATATACAGGGTTGCTAAAAAGTATGGAAGCGGTTGAATATCTTGGGAACGGTTAGCTGGACATTATTGATCTTAGATATATTTATAAATTAAGCTCTGAATTATATGCAAAAAATTGTTAAAATATGCAAGAAAGATGACTTTTTTTAAACATTAATCTTTATTTCTATCATTTATTACAACACTTATAACTTAGATTACACATGTTTGGACTTAAACTACACATTTACAAATTAAAACTAACTATGTCGGTGTATTCTATTACTCTGTTAAATAGCTATTTTATTGAATAACTAGTTACACTCTTGAAAAATAGTATTATTTACATTTATTATAATATGTTTTTCTAGATTTTCCATTTTAAATGAATGTCTTCGATCACTTAAAATATATTTATACACTGAAAAACTGCGCTGTACATCGACAGATGTTGTTGGGGCATATTTAAGGGACGACACAATTTGAAGGTCTATATTTACCTCATCTGAAAACTGTCCATCTAAAACTTTTGCCACATTAGTTAGTTTAGTAAAACCCCCATTTTGATTAAGGACTTCGTCTAGTTCTCTACTTCCCGAGTGTAAGCGAAGGAAGTATCGTAATAGAGTCCGTCGGGCGACTCTCTACTTTTACATTTTCTCGACCTTTCATGACCCTTAGAGTACGAAGAAATTGGTCTCCTGTTTCCGTCTGTCTGCCTGACTGTCCGTCTGTCCGTCTGTCCCTCTGTCGTCCCGGATTTTTATTAGACAGATAATCTCCGAAAGTACTGGGCCGATTGTTGTCAAATGAATGAAAATGAACCAACTGTATTAAAATTGTATTAAAATTAAGATTTTCACCAATTACCACGAAAAATGCAGCAACAATTTTAAAATATGCATAAAAATGCACTTAAAATTAAAATATGGAATAAATGCTAAAAATAGTTAAATATGCAAAACTATGCATATAAGTATAAAATTTGCAAAACTACTTCTAATTTTTACCCACCCTGTATGAATTTTCTGAGTAATTTTATGTAAATGTTTCTCGTTGTCTTCCCAAAAATAGAAAATATTTAGCGCTTCCATCATTCCACAATTGGAAATGGCATTTCTCCCAACGTGAAGTAAACGCTCAGTCTCCTATTTTAGAATGCGTTGACAAAATACACTTCCTCCCTTCAGAGAATGCAGGCTTCCAGGAAATTCTATTTAATTAAGTTGATTTGCAAAAAATTCGTTTGGATAAAACGTTGCAAAATAAATGGGAAATTTTCTAAGCCTCCCTTGCAGTA